TATATATATATATATATATATATATATATATATATATATATATTATATATTAAAATATCAATAATGATATGACACATACATCCTCAAAACAAAATAAATGCATTTCTCTTCCTGCGAGAGAAGCACATCGTTAAAAGAGACATGATTAAAATAATGATGATATAAGCCAGCGTCACAATGCAGGATCGTAATGCAAGTAGCCTTTATTTAAAGCCGCAGAATGATTCGCGATGACTTTATTTATCACTTATACAATGACGTACGCGCATGGTGAGTCAATATATGAATGCGCGTGGTATTCGAGACAGGTTTCTTCCGGTAGCGATATAGTCGGTTTTATCGAACGAAAACAAATAAGCCGTTCAGTATGCAAATGCGAAACGAAAGATCTTTTTACTATAATATAATATAATATAATATTGCGCGGTGAACTCTCGATTTTTGTGCGCAATCAATCGGGACAACTGCAAATGAGAGATAGCGATAATAACTCATTTGCAAATCGCGTTACTCGCCAAATATTCTATTTGCAAAAATTTGTTCGATACAGAGTATAAAATGCATTCGGCACGCATTTCGGCATTAATTTAATAATTTAATTTATTTAACTCACCGTGCTCGGTGAGGAGGAGGAGACTTTCGGGCGTGTCGTCCGCCCGAGAAGCGACTCGGCATCGTTTCTTTCCACTCTGAAATGTCAAACACCGCGAAACATCGCGAAACAAGGAAGCGTTTATTATGTTACGAGGACTGTTGTTGAAATCGGGAAGCATTTGCTATCGCGGATTTTCTGGCTTTGAATGTATCCGAGCGTATATTGGGAGCGTGTTACATGGAGAGTTGTCGGCGATGCACGCTTCAAGGATAGAATGGAATCGGGAAAGTGGGTTAATAAACCGTACGTTGCACTTTATCGATCCGCGATATATTTATTACGGAGATAGGTATTTGTTGCTCGCGTTGACGTCGGCAGGAGCTTAATATAGAGTGTGATGCATATAAAACGCGTTGCTAATCGGCCGAGACCGTTATATCATGTTTGAGTGGTACTGTAACATTCGCATGTGGCAAAATTAATTTTAATTACAGAAATCCGATTGAGATTCCACACTCCTCGCGAACGTGAATGTTTTATTTATTCGTCCGACGAGAATAAACGCATGCGTTTGCAGTGTTGATTTATTAGCAATAGTGAATAACGATAAACGGTTGAATTATTGTCTTCAAAAATTTACTAATTTATTCCACAAGATAAACAAAAAGTTTCTAATTCTGTGATTATTAGAGCTATGATAAATGACATAATTTTTT